GCCTACTCTCTCTTAGACCACTACACACTGATGGAATTCTTCCTTCCTTCTTTCCTTCCTTCCTTCCCTCATTCCTTCCTTCAACAAGTCTTCCTCAAGTGCTCAGTCTGTGCCAGGCACTGTTCTAGGCACTGGGGCACAGCTAGGATTAAAAGAGAGAGACCCCAGCCCTCACGGAGCCTCACTTGCCCTTTGGGGTATAAGAACAATAAGCAAATAGGTAAATATCCAGGCCAATACGTGTGTGTGTGTGTGTGTGTGTGTGTGTGTGTGTGTGAGGGGGTGATATGTCTAAGGAGAAAAACAGGGATAGAAGGAAGAGGGGAGAGAAATATAACAGGGTGGTCTGAAGGGCTTCCTGAAAAAGTGGCTGAAGGGGTGGGCAAGTGGGCCCAGAAGGGAGAGCTGGGAAACAGCATTCCAAGCAGAGAAGGAGCAGAAAGAGGAAAGGTTCTGAGTCCGAGTCCTTTGTACGGCTTCACTCTGCTGTACATGGAAAGCCACTGTGGTTTCAACAGCCAGGCAGCATGCCGTGCCTTACATTTCCAGAGAAACTTGTCGGCCGCCATGTTGAGATTGGATGAAGGGGAGCCAGGGCCCAGGCAAGGGGATAAAGGAGCAAGTTACCCCAGCATTCCAGGGAAGAGATGAGTGGGGCTGGGGACGGGGTGGTGGCTGTGGATGGGGTGAAAGGTCATTGGATTTTAGGCAGAGGATGTCTAGGATGGAGTCAACAAGATCTCCTGACCCAGTCATTGTGGGGTGACAGATGAACGGAGAAGAGAGAAACAGCCTCAAGCTTTGCTTGTTTGCTTTCTTGCCTCATTGATTTTTATCTGGGCAACCAACACTTGGGGACCTCTAGGGAGTGAGTTGGAGAAGACTCCAGGAGAAGCAAGTGTGGGTGACACAGTCAAAGGTTTGGACGCAGTAAGTCTGAGTCATCTGTTAGATGTGCAAGTGGAGATGTGGGGCGGTAAGGAGAAGGTGTCAGACCAGCACGCAGAGACAAGGCCTGAACGACTACCTCGTTGGTAGGTGAAGGCACAGAATTGTTATTTAACGGCAAGTAACTGAGGGATTGGGTGTGGATGAAGAAAATGGGTCTGAGCTTAAGCTCTGAAGCTTGCATTATGAACACACTCTGGCAAATATTGACTGGAAAATTCTCTCCTTTGCAAGGGAAAAAACTAAGCATCATATGATGCTGCTGAAGTCACACCCTCTGCACGTTAATGATATGAAAATGGCCTCATTTGCCACTGGCCTAAGAAGAAATGGTTAGTGCAGTTTGTGGACTAGTCAGATAATTACAGACAGTTGCTCCCCTCCCACCCCAGGCCCCTAAATAATAACAGTAACCCTTCTGAACAAATACCAGAGCTCAGCTTGCAACCTCCAAGAACCAATGGCGATTAAGCTGAAGAATGTAGATGTGAAGACGCTGAAAGTTTGAGTTAAATGATTGGAATTTCATTAAGCTTTATGATGTTTAAGGAAAAGAATACGGCTATACATATTTGATCACTTAATTACATAAACTGTTGGGGGAGTTAGGACTTCAACTGAAGATGGCCACTGATCTGTGACCCATTTGAATGGGGATGTTCTTGGAATGTTTCCTGTCCCAGTTCCAGCTACTTGGGAGATCCCAGCTTCAAAAAAACAAAAAGGAATGTTTCCTGTCCCATTAAAAACATTTGGATTTATATGTATATATGGGTGATATATATTACGTAATATATGCATTACATATTATATGCATGTGTTTTTATATGTGTATACACACACATATATGATTTATAAAAGCTCCATCTGATGAAAAGATCTACAGCTGCATAAGTATTCATGCCTTGGGATACTTCTAGATGGAAAGAAAAGGGACTTGATAATCCCATCTCCTTCCACTAGTCCTAACTCATCATCGATTATACTAAAGAAAATAAAAAAATCCGAAACAATGCTCCATCCTTTCATTGCATTTTCACAAGTATCTCATGGAAGATGATCAAATAGTGTTCAGACTATTACAGTCGTGCAGACTAGATAAAAAGAGGCCAAGGAAGGTCAAGGGTCCTAGGGCTCACAAGTCAGAGAAATAGAATTCGTTCCCTTCTCTCTTTCCAAATCCGAGGGATTATTCCTTGGCACAGCAGCTGCTGACCATGAGATGCTGTTTTTGTATTTAATTATAAAGCCCCCCAAACATGGTTACTTTCCACAGACATTTGTCTGGATTCCATTAATAAAACCACCCTCGAGCCAGTTCCTAAAGAGGACTGGGACTTGAAGGTCTGACATTCATGGTATAGCTGGATGCATACTTCACATGCACTTGCTGGAGGCTAAGTCTGTGCCAGACACAGTGCCCCTCCTCACTGAGACTCGCCCGTGTTCTTAGAATATACAGGGTGCGCGCTGTTCTAGGCTATATGCAGGCCAGACTAATACCACTGACATTCCTTACTTTGGACAGAGGGCCCATCTGCCATTTTCCCAAAGCATCTTTCCCCTGACTTTCAGTTCTCGTTAGAACTTGAGTTTACACTGTGTTCTGAAAACTGCGTGATCCGCCTTGTGTGTAAATTACATCACGAAAACATTTTTTAAAAATTAACTTATTACAAATAAGACAAGTTTATTTGACTGTATTTTTGACCTTTCTCTCTGTGAGTGGTAACCATAACTCAGTGGATATTCTGAAATCTAGTTGAGTGTTAAGACAGATGAAACGAATCCATCTCCAGAAAGTATACTGCTCACTGGCACCAAAAATACTATAAAATATAAAAAAAAAATGCACACTAAACTACATTTCTGATCTTTATGCTTTAAATATCTGCCTTAAATGCTGGCACACACATAGGACTATATTATATTGAGTTTAATAATATAGAAAAAATAATCTCAATTACCACAAACCAGGAAGTGGTGGTAACCCATTTTTCAAATAAATTACCATGTGTCACGATTTGGCATAAACTCTGATCCTTATGAATAATTCATATCTTGTGCATTAATAATGCATGTTCTTCCTACTGGAATGCTCTCTAACACAGAACGGATGCCTCTTACCAATTTCCTCAATTGGCATGCTGGAGTAAATCCAGATTAGAATGGCGTTTTTCATCCTCCCCTTAAAACTGCAATACTTGGCCAGCCTATAAGCTGATCAGAAATATGAAGTTCCTATTATTTTTTTTTTTTTTTGCAGTTTTCATGGGAATTACTCTGTGAAGTTCCCCAACAATGGTTGTTCTCGCCAATGAGCACATTTGCAAAGTTGAAAAGAAAACCCAGGGAACTTTGGCAGGGCTGATGGAGACGGTTAGTGCTGTCACCTTGCTCTCTAAATACATGTTTATATATTCACAATATCACAGGACCTAACTGCTAATACCTGGTAACCAGCAGGAAAAAATAGAAAGAAGGATGGAGGGAGGGAGGAAGAGAGGGAGGGACGGAGGAGAGAGAAAGATAGAGTGGGAGAGGGAGAGAAAGAAAGAGAGAAGGAAAGGAAAAGAAAGAAGGAGGGAGGGAGGGAGGGAAAGATAAAGAAAGAGAGAGAGAAGGGAAGGAAGGAAGGAAGGAGAGAGAGAGAATCAGGCAAAGGTTTTATAATAATTACAGGTGTTCCTGCCAACCAGGGTTCCCCCACCCCCACCCCCACCCCCGGCTCAGTGTACTACTGTGAAATGCCTTTTCAATTTTCAGTAAAAATATCTGCCACACAAAAACAGTCCAAAAACCAATTAAGAGAAAGATACCAAACGTCATATACACTCACTTGTAGAGAAAGACTCTCACTTGTCGGTCCCTCGCCCACCACAGGGACCTTCTGCATCATTTCAGGGGCTACGGAAGTAGACTTTCCTCTCCTGGCCCCTATTTCACCCCCATCTCTGGGCAAAAGGCACAGGAATAACTAAAAACGCAACAAAACTTGACACAAGGCGAAGAGAAATGAGGTACTTAGTTTGCAATCAAAAAACTAAGGGTTGCATCTGCTAACCCTCCCTCAAGAATTCCTTCCCCATCCCTCCAACCCACAGACAGAGAGAGTGGTTTCTCTCTTCCAGGCCCCCTAGTGAAGAGCCGAGAGAGACGGGGGCAATCAGAGGGAGTTTCAGAATCTGTCCCCAAGTACCCTCAGATTCATTCACTAATTCTTTCCGTAGATAATTTAGCGAGCACTTTCTCTACGCCGGGTATCACGTTCGTCCACACTAAATAATCTTCCAGTGGGTCCCCAATGTGTATTCCGGCTACAGAAATCCATCACCTGCGTTCAGGTTGAGACAAAATTCAGCCTCAGGCATCTCCCGGGCGCCGGCCTCGGGCACAGGTCAGCACACACCGCCTTTGCAGCACCTGGACAGAGGGGGTCACTGTCCAGGATCACCAGTCAGGAGAGACCTTTCTGCTGGGTACAAATCTCTCCCTGGGGTCCGAGGGTCACTGACCTCGTTCACACCAAGAATGTGTGTCCTACTCCTCAACCAGCCCATCCGTCCCCCGGAAAAGTTAAGTTGGCGGCGAGTGGAAAGAGAGGGGCGGCTGGGCCGTCCGGCCGGCTCCGCGCCCGCCCGGCTTCTCGGCTCCGACTCCCATGGCTACTGAGAAATATTTATTTCGAGGAGATGGGCTCCAGCGGCTACCGCAGCCCAACAGCGGCCACCACCAGAAAGCCAAGTCATCCGCGAGATAAAGATAGATCCATTACATACCTAGACGCTGGCCTTCCAGTGGCCGCCGCGGGAGGTGTGGGTTTGGGAGAGAAGCCACCGCGCGCCTGGCCAGCGCAGCCGGGAACCTCCTTCCCCTCTCCAGGGATGCCGGCTCAAGATAAAGACAATCGCGCCGGCGAACCGGGAAAGGAAGGATCGATACTTACCCCGAGGCGTCTGCTCCGGATCCTCACGTAGCCTTGCTTCACTATGTCATTAAAATTGGAAGCCATCCCAGGCAGCCGGTAGCCCCCCTTACCCAAGCGCGCGCACCCTAAGTGGCTTTGGGGAGGGTCGAGGGCGGGCAGGGTCAAGAGAAGGAGTCGTGGGGGGAAAGTTGGAGAGGTGACGCTGCTTCGGGTGCCGCTCTGCGAGGCTTCAGAAGGCGCGCATCACTTTCTCCGTCCCCCAGACCCCGAAAGTGGGCGGCCGGCTCGCAGCCACTTTAGGGGAGCGCGGAGCCGGGAAGCGAGGCTGGAGCGCGGGTGTCAGCTGACTCCGCCGCGGGCCCGCCAGGAGGAGGAGCAGCGCCTGCCAAGGGATCCAGCCCTCCCTCTTCCCGGGGCCGAGGAGGAGGAGGAGGAGGAAGGAGGCAGGGGTGGGGGGCTGAGAGGAGGAGCCGCGCGCGTCCCGCGCCGGGCTGTGGCCACCCGCGAGCAGCCGCACTCGACCGCGCTGGCACCTCCCGGCCTGGTCTCCCGCCCAGCTTCCCGACCCGCTTCCCCTGTGTATCCCTCACCGGCTCCCACCCCCGAGGGCCTCCACCCGCCCCCTGCCCAGATAGCGCCCGGTCTGCGCGCGCCAGGGGTTTGATTTAAGCAAGAAAGGAGATTTCACTTTTTTGCAGCCGCTGCCCATCCACTCTCTCCTTTCAACCTTGATTCTTCCCTAAGAAGGGCTCTGTGTGTGTGTGTGTGACAGAGAGAGAGAGAGAGAGAGAGAGAGAAAGAGAGAGGGAGAGAGAGAGAGATGGTGTTGCCACGCTTTGCCTTGACCTTGGCTTGTGAGGAGAGGGATATTGTCACGGCTCAAGCTAAGAGCTTCCTTGGGTTTCCTTGGCATTGGGCAATTAGCTTTCCGTGGTATCTTGTGTCAGATTTTCTTGTTTGAGCCTGTCTTTCCCGCCCCTGTAAGTTTCCCAGAGGCTGAGACTTGGTTTCATCACTTTTTGTGTCCTGAAGCCCAGGGTAAGGGCTCAGTAGGTCTCAGTGGTTATCAAGTAGGCTACCCTGGGTGCCAGGCACTGTTCTTAGCCCTTTGCATGAATTAACTCATTTAAACTCCCCTGCGTTTCTGAAGGTAGGTGCCTCCTTAGGTAAATACCAAGCCCCTATTTAAAGCTCCATAGTCCAGCAATAGAGTTCACTCTGGTAACCATTATGGCATACTGCCTATAAAGTAAGTTTAAAGGGGGATCAGATTTTACACTCACCTGCGTCTCACTGCATTCCCCTCTTCAAGCTTACTTGAGTTGATAATTGCTAGCATTGATTGAGCACCAGCCTGCTAGGCATGGTGCTAATCTTATTAAAGGAGTAAAGACTTAGGTACTAACAGTCACGTTTTATAGACTGAAGCTCAAAAGAGGCCCCTGGGCCTTGTCACTGGTCCAACACAGTGGGCCACTATCAGAGGTGGGATCCCAGGGTGGTGTGTGTGTGCCCAACTTGGCCTAATTAACACCCTCCTATAGACCTCTTCCAGAGAGCAGGTGTCTCAGAGAGGAAGGCTGCTAGTTGTTGGTTTCCAAGAAAGATCTTTCTAATCCTTTGCACTGTGTTCAAAGCCCAAAAGGATATCAGAAACTTAACAATTCTTGTTCTCCAATCCAAGGCTGGGTGTTCTTGGGTCAGAGCTGCTGAGCAGATTCATTTACTGGTGGATTCTTTGACCTGATGATATCAGAAGGCCTTTCAACTGTAAGATTTTATGAATCTTCCCTTTCTCTATGGAAAGATTAATTTTCAGTCCCCTGGGCTTGACAGGTGTTAAAGAAGAATGTGTCGTAGGAGAGCTGAGACTAAACTGGGGCAACGGAAAAGCAAATATCTTGGCAGGGAGAAGTCTTTTTTGCTATAGAGTAAACCATCTGCTCTCTCTTCATGTTGTCATTCTATGGAAAATGATATTTTAATTTTAAGTCTCTCACAAATGAAATGGTAAAATCATTTTGAGAGCTCTTCATGAAAAGTTGGGATAACAACAAAAAAAAATGCTGTCCGTGGTTGCCGTGAAATAGAGGTGTTCGTGGAAAGCATTTGTCTAACACATCAATCGTAGACCAAATCTACAGTGTCACAGAGACAAACGACAAAGAAATCAAGGCATAAGGAGCTTGGAGAGAAGGGCCCACAATCACAAAATAATTCCTGACTAAAACTGAAGCTGAAAAATCCATCCCTTGATCATTAACCCATAAACAATTGAACTAGCTCTGAGGAAACTAGACTCAGGAGAAATCGTCAAATTAGATGTGAGGAAACAAGAGGGTTTTTGTTTTTTTTTCCTAAGTGCAAGATTGAATCCAGCATATGGTTCTATTTGCTTGGTGGAATCAAATTTAATATGCATGTAAAATATACAGACTGTGATAGAGCATTCACAGGACAGCCTCTTGTCCAAATTGTGCAATACACAACCACGGCAGAAGGGAAAGATCAATTCACAGAGGTAAACCATGAGCATGGTCTTCTAGAGTTGCACAGTGCACACTTGCACGACCACATGCTGCCCAACAGACGTACAGCGACACACAATTTAGTTGCCCCAGAAATAAGTTTGACCAAAAAAAAAAATTATTTTAGCCTATGTTTTTAATTCAATTTTTAACACTTAGAACTTATTTGCAGTATACACTTCCATGTGCTGCCATGACATCCAGATTCCCTTCTTCCAACACTGGTAACTATTTTCAGGCTGAGCAGATGCCCCCTGCTCCCAGCCCAGGTGCACAGCCCTGTACACTGCCTTGCTTTGGACTGATTTGGACCAAATTAGTGATTGGTTCCAATGTGAGTTCATGACCTAAGCTGACCAATTAAGAGTTAATTGGGTCGCTTCTGCTGAACACTGAGACAAAGACTGACGCTCTGGCTGAAATGGAAAGTGGATGAGAGAAGCCTTGGGGCTGCTGGCTACGTCATAAGACTCCAAGGCAAGGCTGGGAGTGAAGGCTGCACAAGACATACAGAACTGAGAGACCAAGAGAAGCCAACACGATCCTAATGGCTGCTCCAACCCCCACCCAACACCTCAGGAAAATATTATCTGACTTAAGTAGATATGAAACTGTTATAATAATTAGATGCCTAAATGCAATGATGTAAATTGGATAAAAGTATAGTCATTTCTCATGTAACAATCCAGCAATGACTGTTTGTCCTGGGCAAGTAAAAAGTGTTGTCCTGTGGATCCAGCATGAAGGTCAACTCTGGTACCCAGGACATGACTTCCATCCTTGAATCTAGTTACTCTCCTGTCCCAGCAAGGAGAAAGAGTGGGCATGGAGGAAAACAGGCTTCCCGATAGAAATGTGATGCGGGGGTTTCAAACATCTTTCTCTTACATCCCAGAGACCAATGTTTTGTCACATGGCACACGCAGCTCCGTGGAAGACTGGAGAATGCAGTCTCCATTTGGGTACGCTTCAATTACTGTGACTGACAACAGATGAGTCAAAAACTGAGCTTGGTGGCTTTCTCCTATAATCCTAGCAATTTGGGAGGCTGAAGAGAGACGATTGCTTGACTCCAAGAGTTTGAGACCAACCTGAACAACAAAGTGAGACCCTGTCTAATAAAGAAAAAAAGGAAGTAGTGCTTTCTAATTCACCTAAAAAAAATTTTTTTTTCTGCTTAAGCCAGCCGAAATTAAAATAAACTGGAAAACTGTCACTTCTATCAAAGTCCCATCTCAGGCCCCTGTCTAAGGCCCTTGACTTGAATCTTAAGGAATCTCAATTAACTATACCAACACACTATCAGGCTTAGACTACTTGAAAAATCCCAAAATTTTCTGTGGCGTTTCCATAAAGCCATAGCCTGACAGATGTGAGAGTGACCTCAGCCAACTGCTTCAATCTCCATCATTTGGGAATTGACACATTTCCAACTTTGCAGCATTCTGTGGAAGCCAGCAGTGATGGACCCCAGTCACTCCAACTTCAGAACTGGACACCTGATTGAGGCTGGCCAATCAGCACACTCTACTGTGGGAATGGCACAGAACATGTGACCTGGAAGAGCCAATCAAGATCTTCCTGGGAAAATAAACAGAAATGCTGAGGTTTGTACACTAACAAGGAGTAGCTGTGCCTGTGGCCCATTCTGACTATCTTGTCACCAAAATGGGAAACTGGCAGAAATAAAGCCAAGAAAGGGCCAAATGAGGCTAGAAACCAATCTAGAGCTACCGTGGCTGAAGTCAGAAGTACCGCTGGGAATTCCTAGTGGCCACCTTTTTGTTCTTTCTTGTTTATTTGGGCCCATACTTCCCAAGGCTGGGACTAGGGCAGAAAAGTGAGGCACCTAGGCTACGAAATTTAAGGAGGCATGCACTGCCAGGGCTGTGTGAGTGCTGAGCCTCCATCTGCATGACCCTGAGAGGGAGAGCTTCCTTAAATCCCGCACTACCCTTGCTTCACTTGCTGCTTCCTAGTCGGGCCCTGATAAGGCCCTTATTTTAAAAGTATGAATTAAAATTAAAAGAGGGTACATTCACAAGACAATACATAGAGTGACACGCTTCCCCTAAGTGGGCATCCTGTTGATATGATACAAGGCTGAATCACACACCGAAGAAGACCCTGCTATTCGTACACTTAGCATTGCAAAACCAGAAATGAATCCCAGGTTCTAGAGTCCACTGCATTCAAAGCAGAAATCCACTCTAGCTCAAGCACACGGGCAGGCCTTACCAGGCTCTCTCATTCCATTCAGCAAATTATTATTATCATCATTATGATTTTTTTTAGCTGTTGAAAATGGAAAAAGTGTGTGCAGAAACTCAGAGGCCTCAATACTCTTCCAGAGCAGGTGCTGGGTTTCCAGGCTTTGCCTAGGAAGATTGTATTTTCACAGAGCCCCACAAAGTGCCAAGGCTGAGGCAGAATGGCGCCAGTCCAATGCCCTTACCGAAAATAACTTGAGCTTCGCCCCCACTGCCTGCTGCTCTCAGTGGGGGCGTCACAGAAACATATGCAGCCATTCCTCTGGCAAGGTGACACGGCACTAATGAAAAGGATCTGGCTATCACCAAGGAGGGAGGTTGGTGGCTTCGCAGCCAGGTCTCCCCTCTGTCAGTTCTTACCCAGCTATAAAAAGATGACTTGGAGGATGGCATCAGATCAGGTGGGAGAAAACCTGGGAACAGGTCTGCTTCAGCCATTCATCGTTTTATCCCTCCTTTTCTGCTCCAACAAACGCTTATGGAGTATCTGCTATGGGCAAAGATTGTCCACAATA